CCGACCATAGTTTACGGATGATACCCAAATGGACTATCGAACAGCCAAAAAAACCTAAAAAATAAATATTGGAGGAGTGATAATCTGTCTTTGAGAAGTTCGTCAGCGAAACCAAGTTGAATGAAAGGACATATAAATATATATCTATTAAATAACTGTCCATATATCTGTTATATACCCGCAATAATATATAACGACGGTAAAGTATATATAATATATTTCATATATGACCTTATTGAATAAGGTACAAAATTTCTTTATGCTAGAGAAGATATGATGCTATAGTAAGTCACAAACGAGAAGATACGCATAAAAATTCTTTAAGGCCATCTGACATTTCGGACCAAGCTCGGTCCGTATTTTAGTGTGAAGACAGAGTATTTATGCGTTGTCTCCCCGTATGTGACTTAGCACAACACCATACGACTTTATTAATATATTTCTTTAAACGTTCAGAGTAAAGTGATAGCTTACGAGAGTAGAAAAGTCCTGATCGTCTGCAGTTCAATCACTTCTTTTCTACTTTGCTTGAAGAACGCCACCATGAAGCTCTGTGCCTCCAGCTCGAGATCTAAGTCATATGTGGACAAGTCAGAGTCCAAACTGCGTCTGTCGCGTGAGAACATGCGACTGTTGTGGTTTAGTTGCGACCTGGCTGCCGCAATGTCATAATAAACTATGCTACTTAAGCGATCTGCCGAAGGCAACAAACGAAACTGTTCACCGCAGCAGCTAAGGAAGAAATAAAATGATCGTTCGTTCGAAATCAGGTTTCGCATGCCTCGAGTGCATCCTGTAGTCACGCTTTCGTATAGTTCAGAAAACGGAATCGAGTCTCTGTAGCGCCCTTGAAATTCCGAAACCACAGCATCGTAGATGGCGATTTTGGTGGCACGATCGCGGCCTGAAATGAGGCAAAGTTGTAATACAATTATACATTATTACGAATAAAGAGAACAACCTCCAAAAAAACAAATTTAAGATTTAAGACCTATAATAAACTGAGGTGACAGATTTGTGTCGTGGAGCATAGAACGCAACAGACCGGCCGACTTCGAAATCCTGAAGTACCGCGTTCGATTCCGGTCTTAATCACGAATTCCCTTGAGCAATGAATTTACTACACGTCGCTTCAGACCGAGGTTGCCCAGTCGGCATAGCGTGCGACTGACAATTGAAAGATTGCGAGTCTGAGTCCCAATCAGGGTCACTTAAGTCTCGTTTTCCCGCAATTGATAAATGAGTATCACTCTGTGGGAAGGAAAAAGGAGACTACACATTAATGCTCAGCACATAGCTGCTGTCAATCCTGCCTTTAAAAAATGTACTCCTGGCAGATGGCATGGAAACAGAGAGCAGCGCTTCGGCCATAAAGGTCATGAAAAGAAGGACGCCAAGAAAGATATGACCTCATCATTAAAATGTAACGAAGATCGACATTCCAACGGTTGCAATCTTTTCTTCTTTCATTTTGTGACCCAGAAATCTCTGATGTAAATAGTGATTTTTTATATGATAAAAACCAATGATTCTGTCAGTGTTTTGATGCCACATGTCTAACAGCAGTCAATCTCTGAATTTGACAGCCATCACATATCGATTCTACCTTCTGCTCTGAAAACTGAACCTTGTTGATAAAGAAATTCGACTGATTGATAACCAAGATACAAATTGATCGAATTCATAGCCATCTCTGAAGTTTACTCAACTTCTTCCCCTCTACACGCATCCATGTACCGAGGAAATCAGTACTTACTCAAGTTGTGTAGTCATTCCATGGCGTGTGAAACATCATCATAGATTTATCAACATTTGCAGACAGATGGTCTAAACAGTTGCTTCATCTTAATCTTACTATTGCATCCCAATGAAAGTAAAAGCAGCGATACAGAATACATGAAAAGACAAAGCTTTCAAGTACAATTTGCTGATGCAAGTTCCTGAACCTAATACTGGTTCTGGGTAACATTCAGCGAAAGATGGTGAATCCTGAAGATTGCTAAACAAGCGTGTGGTCATCTCTACTGTAAAATCAGGGAAAAACACTGAGTGCACATATATCGAGAAATTAGTCTTCTATTCTAGTACTGAAGATGTTTGCGAAGATTATTCTTGAAAGGCTGGAAAATGCCATAGATGATTTGCTTCGAAATAACCCTAACATCGTTCTGAAGTGGACACTCATGCACAGAGTATATTTACATTCTCTCGCATGGCATGCTGTATATTTTTCTTGTTTGCTTTTTATCGTCATTACTTCAATGATGCGACTTAATGTACAACACCTAAAATCTTAAAATCATCTCATAAAACCGCTTTTCGCTTACAAGCTGTTAAGAATTCATGATATTTGCTTATTTTTTGCCTCGGTGCCCCTGTCGCCCAAAAACTATTTAACCAGCACCAAGGACCGAAAGCTTGCCTTCTAGATCCAATATCATCCACATCCACGACCAACTACATTCACGAATACACGGGCTGAAATGTCGGTATTTGTCAGTTGCCGGAATGACCACAGTATCTTTCGAGTTGTATATAAGTAAACCGTGTAATATGCTATTTTTTCAATTTAGTTTTTGATGATGTGCTTCGTACCTGCAAATTACGTTCATCTTTGCGGGAAAGGAGATTTTGAATATTTGCCATGAATTAACTCTAGAGCAAATCGATTAGACCAAAAATTAAAAACTTCGTGGAACGTCGAAAAAGAAGCAATAGAGAACTACAAACAATATATTTTTCGGCCCCGACAATCAATAAAAATAATATAAAAGCAGTTGTAAGAAAAAATAATGCAAAAAACAAGAGAAACAGACCCTAATCATCGGTATTAATCGCATCCTGTTCACTTACCTTTGAATCTGTTCATTTTCGATGGAAGATCTCACTCCGAAAAAATGTATAGAATTAGCCAAACTCAACTAAACCTCAACACTGATACAATCTACAGAAACCTCAACAATGGCAGAGTTTTGCAGGTATAGTTATTGTATGGCGGGCTATTTAATTATTTATCTGAATTGAATTCTGAATAACACGTTGTGCTAACTGTTGCAATCTATAATCAGCTATCAGATGGGTTAAGGCGAAGTGCAGTCCACGCCCTATATTCTGGCATGACTGGATCAAAGCACCAAGCTGTAACACTCCATTTTTCGCAAGTCACCGACTTGCTATCCGTTTCTCTGCTGGTGCCAAAACAGCAGAGATCTACTTCCTTGCTCAAGGAATTCACGGATATGACAAAGGTTTTTTCTTTAGCGAATTCAAACCTGGCAACTCTAGAGCAATTAATAAAGTTGACAATTATTTCTTAAAGTATATAATGTCTCCGAAAAAGTTTAAAGTGATGATTAATAAGATATATATTCTATTCCTATTTATAGTTTAAATAAATTGACCAATGCGCAGCCAATCCTGAGCAGATCTGCAGCAGTTTTCCATCTGATGGTGGTGAATCACCAACAGGAGGGGGCAACAGTTGTGCATTAGTCTCTTTGTTTGGATGATGAAGTTTTATTGGAACAAAATTCATGGATTGGGTTCTGAAGCGAATGCGGTTTTGGGGGTTGTAAATGTACAGGTAATACAGATGCACCGAGGGGTATATCGGAGAGCTATTGAAAGAACTACGGAGTAGGTAAGAGTATTGAAGGTCGTTAGCACCTGACGCTTTTGCCTACCTGTGCATTACCCAGCTGCACATTAGCCACTGTTGCTAGTTTCCCTGGCTGTTAGTTCGTAATTATAAGCAGATACCTCAGTCTCTAAAACTTGTATCCAAGGTAAAAGGTATTTTATTAAATGACTTGGCATTGTGTGCTGCAGAATCAGCGTTTCTGCACGGGAAACAACTTACTCTGCAACACGTCACATCCGCTGCACAACAGCCTTTCAAGGTGTCTGTCCAGCAGTACCTCCAAGTGGTCAATTCTATCAACATTTCAGGGAGGACTGAAATATCTGGCCAGTCGTTCATTCCGTCTTTGCATTTTTGAGTAGCTATGCTTGACCATGCTACATGTAACATTGCTTTCTTCTCTTGCTTTGTGTTGCCAAAAATTTGTCTTGTTCTTTTGCTGATTTCTCGTTAAATTACTGTGAAATATTCTTCTGTTTTTGATGTGATTTATGATATGCTCTCTATTATGTTTTGCATGTTGAAAAATGACGTTTACCGGTATTGCTATTCAAGCAGTAAAACATTAATCTTATGAGACTGACAGGCTAATTCAAAGAATTGTCTGCCTCCAGGTCATCAGGCATATGTAATCTTTCCTCCATTATTATCTCAACCGTTGAACATAGCCTGAAAGACTGTGTGGCAAAAGAGGAGTATTTAGGGTGAAAGCATTCTTGGGAAATGTTGCCCAAGCCATCGTTGCTGTGACTTATCAATCTCGGGAAGTGGTCTGTTTTCGCTGCTGCTAAGCTGTTGATCATGCAATTAAGCAGATTCTAATTTTTCACTGCACGACACTGCCGTGAAATTTTGTTCATAGTTGTAACTGAACTAATTAATAGAACTATTTTTAAGTTGCTGTATTGTGCCCTGTACTAACTGTTGGCTATCAAGTCGCCCAAGACAATTTAAATCGCTAAGGTTTTTTATATTTCACAAACTGATCAAGAGTCCTTGTTCTGGAACAATGCGGCACCATACCGTCATGACCTTTACTTTCCATCTATCTCAGACTCGTTTCCTATTTTGCTGAAGCATGGGCAAATACAGCTGTATACGTGCAAACGTTGCGGATCGAAATACTAAGTTACAATTTTGATGTATCTGCGATATCCGGGATAATCATGATAAATAACATATGCAATGTGCCGATAATGCTCGACGATGCGACGAGCAAACTGCGTGCGTTGTTCACTTAAAATACTCAAAAGCTTTATGGTAGCATTGTGACGTGAAGAGTGCGAGTGCAATCAAACGAACGTGTTGATAACAAATCCGATAAAAAATTTCGACATATGAAATGTCTTTATGCATTCCTGCAGCTGCAAATTTTATACGGCTCTCCTGACACTTCAATCATTTGCTGAAACATAAAATTTGGAAAGTTTTGAGATCTGCAGACTAATCCAAGTAGGTTTTGACCTCATATGATTGTTTTTTACAAGGTCGATAATTATATTTTGCTGGAATTTTATTTGATTATTTACTCATGTTTTACGTTGATCAGCGCACTTCGTTTGTGAGCTCATTTAAGCAGTAACCGAATGTTGCACTTTCTCAACTGGTTGCATTGGAACAATGCAAACACATTTTTGTGGAACATTAGTCACTAAAAGAAGATTCGAGGCGTAGTGGCACACTTGGTAAAAGATCGGCTTTGAACTCCGAAGGTACCAGGCTAGAATTAATTCTGTTCAAGGAACAATGTTTATCTTCCCCGTGAATTCCACTGAACAAAGAGAATTCCATATGTCAATTGAGCACAATCAGCCGTAAAACATATAGCAAGTCGGCGATTTGCGAATAATGGCATCGCTGAATCTGATCATGTGCCAGAATAAATATGAAATATTTGGTCAAACTGTCCGATGTGAGCACCCCTGTGGCTGCATTTCGCTTTCATGCATCGGATCGTTAATTACCTGGTGCAATAAGCACAACGCGTAATCCTAGTTGCTTTTAAAGAATCACATAGCATCTAGAAGGTAAATCAGACATGTCTGGCATATATCATTATTGACTAGCATTGCAGCCCAAATTAAATCATTGCATACATTTAACACATCTGATATTAGTCAATTATTAAAACAAGCTAGTTACTACTGTACATAACAATAGTTTGCCACTTTCGTAATTTAAACCATGTGCAGTACTTATACACTGCATCTACTGAAAGGAAATGTTCATTCTAAAATGCAAATTAATGTTTCAGAGGAGTGACTTTAAAGTGAACTTGGTAAACTCCGCTATGAAGTTTGAAATGGCGAAGATTTCATAATCAGCAGGTCAACTAAAAAATGACAAGACAATACAAACGTCACGCCAAAACATCGCTTCAAATAAAGTCACTAAAATTTCTGTGAAAATATGGCACAATTACAAAACAACAGTAGCAAAACTTAAATGCTGAATCTTAAAAAAATACAATTTTGACAAATTAATGAAAATCATCATTATACAACATTAATATTGTCAAATAAAGGTGACACAATAACCAAATTAATTAAGGCACGTACTCTTTTAACCAACAAACGACAGTCCGTCATAACAGTAAAAAAAGTGCACAACAATAAAATGGAAAAACGCTTGAGTAGAAAATATTAAATGACAATTGGCTAAGGAGTCAGACTTCAACAGTTCTCTCTACTTTCATGTTAAAACTTCGCTTCTTCAGCACCATCACTACAAGATGTTGCACAAATTTGGAAGTTAGTTTGTAAAAAAAGTCAAAATAATGGTATTAACAGATAGAAATTAATTAACGCAATACAATTCTGCATATTTAATTAATCATACTGAACCCGAAATAAATATTACCTACCATCAGTCACAATTAGCATCTTGCATAGAACGTAGTCCTCTGAGAGGAAACGCGATAAGCAAAATTTCCAACCAATGGTTTAGCATATAATTGTTTACCAACATATGTTAAAATCATCGCGTTAGTTTTCAACAGCTCGCTCCACAAAACGCATGCTAAACAAGCATTCTAAATAGGTTTGCTTACTATAATTAGTAGTAAGTTCACAATTTGTTTGATCTCCTATTTTCAAACTATCAGAAAGCTTCCCCAACACGCTTAGAAAGGCCACTCTTGGAATGACTTTCCCTGTCTATGAAGACAGGGTCTGGAATAACGAAACTGCTGAATTCAGAAAGGTGTTTAGGGGTCATAAAAATGATTTTTACCATTTTATATATTTACAAGCATGATGCTACTTTCACCACATGATGCCAATCTTACTTCGGTTACCGATATCAATGATCAAGCGCCATCCAGACCTTCCGTCGTTTTGCTTGTTAGTCACAACGTTCTATTCACTATCCACTGTACTCTCCATTATTCACTAATCATCCATAACTATCTCCCTCTCCCAGACAGAATTGCCATAAAAATGAAATTGTATTCTATCAAACCTGCTTACCAATACCTGTGTATATAGTAACTAAGACCTACAGAATCATACGACCCGCACTTTTTCCTAACGTGCTATTTCAACCTTCGGCTATGCTCGCTCTGTGATGTGGATATCGAGAATCGATTTATGGAGCATATTAGCATGAATATTTATCACAATCACATATACCGCTAAAAAATGCAGTTCTTCATGCACTAACGTCTATTTACAGTTAAAATTATGAATCTTAATGAAACTGCTACATTTGCAGAATAAAAGACTGTCAAAAATTATTTAGTCAAAAACTATTAACATACTTGGTAGAAAAGTGCCGAAAGGAAAACCGTCATAAAAATTAAAGCGCATAACAAGTACAAGCCTACCAAAGAGAGCGGATGTCGTTTAATAAAAAGATTCGCCCAGAAATGTTTTGACTGGCTATACGGCGGATAGCGCATCCTTAAACGTGAAATTGAAGCAAACATAGGTAAAACCTCGTGCTGTCGTTCAACTTACCATAGTATAAACTCACCAAGCTCATGTCGCTTCAGTACAGATTTGGAGTTGCTGAAAGTGTCGAACGAAAATTTTCCGTGGTACTTTCCCATACCGCTATAACCGACACCACCGAAGGGCAGCGTCTCCACTGTACACAAAAAGCAGCATTGTTTAACAACCGAAAACAAAAAACTTACAGCCGATGTGCATCATTATGTCGTTCACAACACAGGCACCACTGAACGTGCCGGACATGATTTTGTTCTGCACCGAAGAAGTGTTGCTGAACAAATACACCGCCAACGGTTTCTCCCTGTTCTTGACTACTTCGATCGCCTGTTCGACCGACTTCACGGAGATTATCGGCAAAATGGGGCCAAATATCTAAAGCGTGAATGTCATCAGGTATCGATCACCTGCCACTCACCTCTTCTTGCATTATCGGATCACTGAGGCGGACGTTGTCTATGATCGTTGGCGCGATGTAAAGGTCCTCTGCAACATAACTGCCACCGCACACTACGTTGTTCGTTTTAATGAAGCGCACCAAACGCCTACAGATCAATGACGTTAATTAACAATAATAACATAACGTTAAACAAAACAGTTAATAAATAACTCAAGTGAGATTTCAATGTTCCACACATCAAAAACTTCTGACATAAAACAATTCAAAATTGAAAAAAAGTTAAACACTGTTTACTTATATACAATACAAAAGAACTGTGGTCAATCCGATGACTGGCCAACACCGGCGTTTCGGCCCGTGTCTCACGGGCCTTCTTCAAGGCAAGTTGGTGGTGAAGTCTCTTGAAGGTGATTGGTCATCTGCAGGAGTCAATAGTTTCGGAGTCCAAAGGCATGCTTTCGCGTAGCTGCTGGTTAAACGGTTTCTGGGTGAGAGAGGTAATGAGATTCACCCAATCAGCTCAGAGTTCGTAATCTTTGTCACGGTTGATGTTTTCACAGGATTGGATGATCGTTGCCTCCTTTATCCGCCTGTGTAGCCAATGTCTCTCTTCAGCGATGCCGCTACACCCAGACCATCAGGGGAGTGTCCTTACT